AAAAAAAAAAAAAAGGATTTGAGGCGGTTACTACCAAAGGGTGGAGAACAGTCTGCCCCAGAGATAAGCAAAAGACAAGTTTAATAATAATTAAAAGAGAAGTTTAATAATAATAATAATAACTTTATTTTAATAATAAAACTGACTAGAATCCAGTTTGCTTTTTATTAGCACCTGTTCCAGTAATTCTAAACAATATCGGTGATAAAATACTCCTCCTTGCCAAGATGGATGCCTCTATCATTTACTTTAAGTACAAACAGTATTTGTATCTATTTAAAGTAAGTGTTTGTATTTATTTCAAATCATGCTTCAAAATTGTGTATCATTTCCTGTAAATTATAATATAGTTAGTGTTGATGCTTGATTTGCAATACAGATTTATTTTCAGTGCAAAACGTGTGCTATGCCTATAAAATAATGGGTCACATTTCTATAGGACTCAGCCCGTGACTTGATGAGATAAATTACCTGGGTAAGCGCTGCCTTTCTCTTCAGACTACTCATCAGCCATTACCAATAGCCTAGTCCTAGTTGCTCAGTTTAAGGCAGATGAACTAGAAAAAAATAGAATTCTTGGTATATGCTAGTGTTTCAAGCCTGCACGTTTAAAAAAAAGACAGGAAACAGCACCCTAATTTATGTTTTTTTGAAAAATCGCCATGTATATCTAGTGACTAATAGAACCAACACTGTACCACGTGTAGACCCAGTGAAGCATTGGTTGAATGAGTTTTCTTCCTAAAATGGCACATAGCTGTAATTTATCATCTGTATGGATTTGGTCCCCTTTAAATTAGCCCTTGGGCCAAGTCCACGTATGTTCTCATTAGTTCTTCTTGATCAGCCTGGGATTTTTATCTTTCCGTAAGGTAAGCTAATGTCATCTTTTGTTAATGCAGTACAGTTAGCCCTTGAACAACGATGGGGTTAAGGGCACCAACCCCTGCGAAGTCGAAAATCCATGTATAATTTTTGACTCCCCCAAAACTTACAGCTAATGTTGACTGGAAGTCTTACCCATAACATAAACAGTTGACTAACGCGTATTTTTTATGTTACATGTATCATAGACTATATTCATACAATAGAGTGAGCTAGAGAAAAGAAAATGTTATTAAGAAAATCATAAGGGAGATGGGGCACCTGGGTGGCTCAGTCAGTTAAGCTTCTGCTTTCAGCTCAGGTCATGATCTCAGCGTCTTGGGATCGAGTCCCACCTTGGGTTCCCTGCTCAGTGAGGAGTCTGTTTCTCCCTCTCCTTCTGCTGCTCCCCCTGCTTGTGCTCTCTCTCTCTCTGTCAAATAAATAAGATCTTAAAAAAAAGAAAAAAGAAAATCATAAGGAAGAGATACATTTACAGTACTGTACTGTCCTTTTTAAAATAAAAAGTTTGTGTAAGTGGACCCGTGCAGTTCAAACCCGTGTTGTTCAAGGGTCAAATGTATTTGCTAGGTGTTTTATTTATGCTTTCTCTTTCATGAGAGGATGGTGAAGACTACAAACTAAAAGCTTTTTCACTCTTTGGTGTTGCCACTCTTGTTATTTCCAAGAGTTAGGAAGCAGGCTGATAGGAAGGCAGGATGATTGTAGAGAGCAAAGTGGAGTCTCTCATGTCAAGCGGGAGCCTGTCAAGCAATGATGCGAGCCCTTAAGGTTCCGCCGCTAGGAGATATCGCCGGGACCGTCAGCTGACCCCCCAGAACTGATAACGAGCAGAACCAGAGGAGGTCTGCAGAAACCCAAAACTGATGAAATCCCTTTTAAAGGGAAAGATTTTGGCAGCAAACACTCAAAACTCTTCAGACCCGACCCATCTACATCCAACCACTTCAAAAAGGCAACTGCCCCTGAAGGTTCTGCCCATTGGATCTCCGAACAGAACTGAGATCCTTCGCTGCTGGAACAGAAAAAGCCGTCAGTGTAGAGAGCTGACCCCGACCAGACGGGGAGGTCTTATCTCAACTGTGCGCCCACAGACTGATTTTGTGTTTGGTTCCTTCATGTCCTGCACCTTCTGTTGTCTTGTTTGTTGTGTGGCTTGTCTTTTGTCCTGCTCTGTGTGCTGTGTAAGAAGCCAAGTTTAGTCACATGGTGACTTGTCCATGAGTTTGGAATCCTGAACCTGCTTTGTAACTGTGATTTAACTTTGCTTTGTGATTGAATAAAGCTGACACTGTGGAAAGACCCAACTCGTGTGTGCGCCTTCGTAGCATGCTCATGACAATGATATGGTCTCAGGTTTGGGACTGAAGATGTTGCCCCCGCCAGTTACAGAAACTGAAGAGAGGTTTATTCCTTTGCTGTCAAATCAGTGCCCTCCTTGTGAGTTGGTCTGTTCCCATAAGGCAATGAAAGGGACCCAGGATAAAACAGAGATCGGTTCAGAGCACTCAAGCATCCTTTGTGTGGTGTGATTCAAGCTAGCGTTGGAAGGAAGAGTGGAATTGTTGGCTTTGCGGATTCCCAGCACGAGGACGGTGTGGGCCACAGTCACTCCAGCACTGAAGCAGAGCGGGGAGCTGGTGGGCTGCACCAGCGCTGGTCCTCGTCACTGTGTCCCGTCAGATTGATCACGCACGCCACAGGGAAGGACGTCCGGGCCCAGCTGTTAATGGGTAACTGCACAGATCGTTCACAAGGGCTTTGGAAATGTTCACATAGAAGTGCGGTGAGGAGAGTGACACATCTGAGAAAGACCGTAGAGGGGCCACTGTGTCCTGCTCAACACACCTTCCTGGCCCCTTCCTTATCCTTTATGGGGGAAAAGGGCATAAATAGCAGCCATTTTATAGCTTACAGAGGATTGACTTAAACAAGTTTCAGGAGGACCACAGAAGACTGGCACTGGGATACAGAAATTGCTGATTCTCAGAAGGAGAAAGAGGTCTGAAGGTTTGTAAACACCTCTTTAGGGAGTTATTATGAACGTGACTTGGTATATCTAATATATTCTCGCAGATATATTCCAATCCATAACAAATTTTCGTTGGTCATCTCTCCTTTCTTAATGCTCATGTCACAGCCCTTGAAAAATTAGTTCCCTAGTGTTACAACCAAATGCTCAAGCAAATGGCACAGCAAGGGTTATAGTAAAACTTCTTAACAGCTGGCAGCACTGGCTCCAGCCAGTCAAGACGGAGCCCTGATGCATCAGTACAGATGTGCACCTGGCACAGCTGTGTCGGTGTCGGCCTGGGCTGACCGGGGACACTTTGGAAGGTCTGTGTTAGCTCGTGCACCCCAAGAGAGAACACGCACCTGCGTGTGCGCACACACCCACACCCACACGTGCTGTAAGAAGTGAGATTTATCAGCATCAGATTAAGGGTCAAACCAAAGCAGCGCTCCATAGAAAGGCACCCAAAGACCCCTGGAATACAAGGGAAATACTATACCACTTAAGTCAGGGCTCCTTACATAGGTCAGGTATAAATTCATTCCTTTTACTGAAATAAACAGCACTCTTAAGTCAAAGTATAAGGCCCTGATCTCTTTCTGCTGA